CGTGGCTGGCGCCTTAGCCGGTTGAGCTATAGGCGCCAAGCCTAGTTTTCTGCTTTTCAACAAGACTCTTATTACAGGCAAAATCACACACAAGCAAATGTGAAATTCACTTCATGCTCAAATTGTTCCCTAATATACCAATTGAGTTAAAATTACCATAGCTTTAAAACAAGACATATAGCACAACTGAATGTATCCTGCCTATTATTTACTTAAGAGCACAGGCTTTCAATGTGGGCAGAGCATGAACAGTTTTTTTTTTTTTTAGAGACAGAGTCTCACTTTGTTGCCCTCGGTAGAGTGCTGTAGTGTCATAGCTCACAGCAACCTTCAACTCCTGGGGCTTAGGTGATTCTCTTGCCTCAGCCTCCCGAGTAGCTGGGATTACAAGTGCCCGCTGCAACACCCGGCTATTTTTTTGTTGCAGTTTGGCTGGGGCTGGGTTAAAACCTGACACCCTCGGTATATGGCCGATGACCTACTCACTGAGCCACAGGCGCCGCCCAAGAGCATGAAAAGTTCTAAATGAAATATTGTAATAATTCATCTATCATATTTCCTATAAAATTTGTAAGCTGACACATAGGAAAAATATTTTTACTCTCCACACATTTTTGAAGTTACAAAAGGTAAACAAAAAGCTATTCAAAATGACTGTATGTATTTTTATTTCCCATTTAACATGTGGAAAGATAAAGCACAGCCTACTGCAGCGTGGGGTAGAAACAGAACAAAACAAAAAACCTAAATATTTTAAACATTTCATCTTAATTTTTTTTTCATTAACTCACAGTTTATTCACATCTGATGTCTGTACAGACTTTAATATATTAGTTACATAAATGAAAAACCCTCTAATAACTTATATACCATTACAGTAGCTCAGTTGATATTTTTGTTACAAATGGCTTCAGACCCAAAAGATTCAACAATCACGTTTAATTGCCTATGTCATCATATCATTTTCCTTATTTTGCCTCATAAATCTCTGCTAGTGCTACATTGTTACCACTCATGACAGCAGTGAAAGACAATCTGTTAAACAGAGTTAGCATTCTTCTTGTAGATGGCTTCCAAAGTAACTTTCTCTTCTGATTCAGTGGTTAAGATATAGGTCTCATAGTAGTCTAAAATTTTGTTCTCGATTTTTTGGCCATGCTTGAATATTTTTTTTTTTTAAGACAAAGTCTCACTATGTCACCCTCAGTAGAGTGCCCTGGCATCAGAGCTCACAGCAACCTCAAACTCTTGGGCTCAGGCAATTCTCTTGCCTCAGCCTCCCAAGTAGCTGCGACTATAGGTGTCCACCACAATGCCTGGCTATTTTTTGTTGCAATTGTTGTTGTTTAGCTGGCCTGGTTGGGTTTGAACCCACCAGCCTCGGTGTATGTGGCTGGTGCCATAACCACTGTACCGCAGGCACCAAGCCCAAACTTGAATCTTAAGTCATAGCAGCCATTAAACAAATGCTCTCAGCTACAAGTTGATAGAGTATAAGATGGCTGCAAAAATTTCACTATCGCTACTCCAAAATCAACCCCAAATACATATACATGCATGCTCTGTGGGTTAGTCAACATATTTATATAAGGAACAAAGCATTTTTTAAGTTACTGTATTTTATATTTATTAAACTTTTACACGTTTTTTTCTTTCCTGCTTCATGTTCAAAGTTCTCAACACTCAAGCTTATAAATGAATACTCACCTTGGCAGATATGATTGTGTCTATAGATTATCATGACAACAGAGTTCTGTATCAGGAGTGATTTAGAGGTTTGTGACTTCAGAGTAACCCACAGTAATAGTAGGTTGTTAATGAACATGAATCCTCTTTGTAGAGATTTATACACAAAGAATATTTTATCATTGGTTTTTAATAATGATTCATGATAACAAAGTCTCTCCTATGTGCTCCCAAGGGGAGGGGAGAGTTGAACTAATGTCCTGCCAAAAAGTTGTGAATTTTTCTGTCTGCTGTCATTTCAAATACCTAAAATCAATTTAGCTAGATTCCTAAACCACCTACAAAAACTGAGCCATGCATACAGATCTGGGAAATGTTAAGAGGGAAGGCTGGATTTTCTCCCCCATGGTTCTGAACTGATTTATTTTTCTTTGAAACTCAATAGATTATACCTATTTCTGTTCCATTTCTTGCTGTTTGAGAATAGTATTTTCAATTATGTACCCTTCACTAATAGTCTACTAAAAATAAGGAATCCCTGTGTACTGCACTGAGAATAGGCTTTTTAACACACAAACTGTTAGACATTCACCCAAAGAGTTTATCATCATGACAAGAGAGTATGTTAATTATTGTCTGCTCATACCATTTCATCTCAACTGCTTTTCCACAAAGAGGAAAAAACACCCTCAGTCCGCTCTCGCCTTTAAGAAAAGTATCCAAATACTTCTTTAATAACCTACGGGAAAAAAAAAGTTGTTTTTTGGGAGGATTTAGTCAGCCTAATGTACAGAGGAAAGGAAGACTGTATGATACTAAACTCTTTTCATGCATTGTCTCAATATTCTCAACAACCTTAACAAGTAGATAAAATATTAATTACTATGTGTATACGTATATATGTATAGATATATATACTTTGAGACAGAGTCTCACTTTGTCACCCTGGGTAGAGTGCCATGGCATCATAGATCACAGCAACTCTTGGGCTCAAGTGATCCTCTTGCTTCAGCCTACCAAGTAAGAGTAGCTGGGACTATAGGTGCCTGCCACAATACCTGGCTATATTTAGAGATGGGGTATCACTGTTTGCTCAGGCTGGTCTTGAACCTGTGAGCTCAGGCAATCCACCCACCTTAGCCTCCCACAGTACTAGGATTACAGGCATGAACCACTGCACCCAGCCTTTAAGTACAATAGTACAATCTCCAGTTTAGATGTGAAGAAATGGGAAGAATACCATCCTTTTTCAGTATAACAAATTATAGGCATATAGTTTGGTGCCCATAGCACAGTGGTTCTAGCGCCAGCCATATACACCAAGGTTGGCGGGTTCAAACCCAGTGTGGGCCAGCTAAACAATGACAACTGCAACAAAAAATAGCCAGGCACTGTGGTGGGCACCTGTAGTCCCAGCTACTTGGGAAGCTGAGGCAATAGAATTGCTTAAGCCCAAGAGCTGGGGGTTGCTACGAGCTGTGACACCACAGCACTCTATTGAGGGCAACATAGTGAGACTTGGCTCTCAAAAAAAAAAAAGAAAAGAAAAAAACTATAGGCATAGACGTTGCTTGAACATCTGCTCTATGAATAAACCATGCATGATCAGTATATAGATGCTGCAGGACATTTTACAAAAGACGTATTTCCTAAATCAGAGATGTCATCACTTTTAAGTTACACAGTTATTTACACCCTGTGGGCAGAAGGACACTGTCAATTAAATATGGTGTAGTGTGGTGTCAGAGACACTAAAATGTAAAAAAATAAAACATGCATCTTAAAATCAAATAATGTATACCTATATTATTTCTATCTCAAAGTCAGTTTCTGATAGAGGATTTTTCTGTTATACACCAAACATTTCTTACTGATGTCCTTGTTCCTGATGAAATCCAATTTTGCGGTTCACCCACTTGTCTTGCCATTCTTCCAGAGTTAGTGCTTGGTTTTTTTGTACCTCAGTATCAGGGTACTCTTTGATGTCAAGGGAAGTCTTTGCAGTATCCATAGTTTCATATATTTCCTGTCTCACAGAATGTCTCCAAGACCTTCATGGAAAATATTTGCAATACTGTCATTTAAAGGCATCACAATTCTATTGATAAACTAATTACAAATCTATTATCTTTATTATCCTTAGCAAGTATGGCTTTAAAAATTTTTTCAATATCCATAATGATGCCATCCATGGCACTTTACCCAGGGTGATACAGTGAGACGCTGTCTCAGAAAGAAAAAAAATTACTTTTCACTGAGTCCAGTGGTAGAATAATACCTCATATGACACATTAAGAAACATCTTTAGATAAATTAAATTGTATCGTAAACATTAGAATAAAAGGGTTTAACTTAAGTAAAAAAAAAAAGGACGGGGCATGGGACCAAAAAAAATAGGCATTCCACAGTTTATAATTTTTGTAAGCTTAGAATGGTTTCTAGTATCTTACTTCCTCTTTAATTTTTTGTATTTCTTTTAATATTTACTTCTTTTATCTGTGACATAATACACACAATTTTAGGATTTCAATGTATTTGTTATGAAATTTGCAGCCGCCATTCCCAATAAGAGAGGAAACCGTCTTTAACTCTTTTAGTTGAGTCTTAAAATCTACCTCTAATATTTCAAAATTAGCATGTTTTGTTTATTCTTGATTTTTCATTTTTAGGAAGCATCTAGCCCTCTTTCAACTTCCCGACACACATATACCACCTTCTCATCTTTCCTATCCTTGTAGTCATAGCATATTTTTGATTAAATATTTGGAGTGCATGTTGTTATGACTAGGTACATGGTATTTACAGCTAAGTCATGTATTATTATGGGATTACATACACATTGCTATTCTGATATTTTCCATGTGGCAAATAAATTCTTTTTACATACAACTTTTTAATTCTGCAGTTAATAATTGAAAGTCTTGCTTTTTCATTTATAAAATTTCTATGTACTTGTTATTAATTCAACTCTAAACTCTGGTAATGGTTCCAATCGTCTTTCAATGTACTCTTAAGCTCTATTATAGTCATAAGCTATTCAATCAGGATCATCTTCTTAGAGAAGACTTCTGACCCCTGGTAGACAGCTAAATTTCTGAGATGCCTCTTGATCATCATCCTGGAAGTTTCCTTGTTGTCTGAATCTGTTTTCTTTGTCCCATATTTTCCTCTTTTTTTCAATCTTGTTTTGTTTTGTTACCACCCTCATAGTGATAAAGTTCAACCTCTAGCAGCTTCCTGAGAAAGACTGCAAGGGAGAAAATTTTTTTTGTAACTTTGCATGTGTAAAATATCTTTATACTATTTATCATCCTTCATGTATAGTTCTACTGAGTATTGAATGCTTGTTTGGAACCCATTTTCTTTTCCAAGTTTGAAGGAATTGCTACAATGTCTTCTAGTATCCAGAGTTTTTGCTTAAGTTCAAAGACATTGCTATTCTGATATTTTCCATGTGGCAATTATTTTCTCTCTCAAAGCTTTTCTTTGTCCCTAGATTTTGTAATTTCATAATTCTATGTCTTATTCGGGGCTTATTTTCATCTATTCAGTCAAGTTCTTTAAATCTGGAAGCTCATATCATTTAATTCTGGGAAAAAATCTTGAATATTCAGATGATGACTTATGTCTCATTTCCCCCCTTGTTTCTCTTTCTGGGACCCCTATTATTGATCTCTAGAACTTCCTGACCTGGTATTATAAATTTCTCATTTTATGTTTTCCATCTCTTCATCTTTTTGCCCTACTTTCTAAGAGATTATCTTATCTCTCTGTTTTTTCATTTCTGCTATCAAATCTTTAGTTTTTAGGAGTTCCCTTTTGTTCTCAGATATTCTCTTTTTATCCTGTTCTTATTTCATGGTTACAGTATTTTCTCTTATTTATCTGCACAGTCTGTTACTGACATGTCATTTTTATCTGTGGGTTTCTTTGGCTTATATCTTTTAGATCACAGAATTTCCTCATGCCTAGCAATTCTCATTATCTGATCATATTTAAGAGCAGGTACCAAGAAGCTGATTGGAAGGCTGAGAATGAGGATGGGCCTGTAAGCTTTACTATAGGATGATGTGAGTAGATTTTATTTGGAAACATGGATGTCATTATCTTTATTTTCTCTGGACTGGTCAGACTTACCATAGACAGATCGTACAATTCCTGTCTTATGTATTAAGTTCTTGGAGTCACTGTTTTATACTCTCTTAAGGAAAGGAAGAAGTGATAGAGGGTCCCAGCATTCACTCTGCCTGTGTTTAGTTAATCCTTCTGTTTTCAATATGGTACTCCCATCCTAAACTGTGTATTGTGTCTTCTCATTCCAGAGACTCTTTGTTTTAGCCTCTCCAGAGAAAATAAAATCCCATAGCCTACTGATGTGGTGAGGGGCCAATACCTGAATGCAAGAAGAAGTTGAGAAAGGAATCTGGGAAGTTAGCTTTTCTGAGTCAGAATTTCAAGCAATTCTTCTTATGCCAACAGGTACTGAGCATTTGGGGGTTCTATCATACAAAATGGGTTGCTCACTAACTTTCCTCATTGTTGGTTTGGAATTCAACTTTTTTGAATTTGTACAATCCTTTCCCACCCATCCATCTGTCGCAGCTGGACAGGCTTTTGTCTCCTTTCCTGCCTTCTCTATCTTAGTGGTTTATGCCTTAAAAAAAATCCTGTTGTCGTAATCAGGAGGGAGCAAAAATAGATTCATAGATTCAATCTCCTATCTACTCTACAAATTTGTATTTTCAAATAAACTTTCATAGCTTCCTTTTTGCATGGGAAAAAAATATGTAAACATAATTGCAGATACCTTTGAAAGTGTGAGAAAAATGCCTGTTCTTTCAATGTCGACTTTGGAATATTAAGGACAATATAGCACCATAATTCTAATATTCTCTTTAAATTAGTGAAACTAGATCTCCCTATGGGAAAGAAAGAGAACTGAGTTTAGATTAAGCTTGCATGCTATTATTGATGGGTTTAATGATTTACCCATTATTCAGCAAAATGAGGTAAGTATTATCTACAAGGTTAAGTATTTTAGATACTCTAGATAAGTATCTATCTTATCTAGAGGTATTTTTTTTTTTTATAGTTCCCCTTTTGTTGAGAAATTTGGCCTCTATATGCTTAGGATTTAGGGAGAAGGCTTATCTCTGATTACAGGGAACATGCATTCAAACCCTTTTTAACAAATGACTTTTACTAAGACCCTGATGATCTCAGGAGGTTACTCTCAGGAGTTTTATGAGTGGTCAGTGGGAAGCATCTGATTATACTGGGTAAGAAAAACAAAAGAGAGTTGTCCTAGTTTTCAACTAGAAACTCTGCAACCTAGACTTGAGCCTTCGTAAAGCAGTTCTCTACATAAAGGGATGCATAATCTTTACCATCAAGCCACAGCTACCTAGGAATTGCACACCACTAAACCTTAAATACAGAATTGAAATAACCGTATCATTAATATAAACTGAATCTTAGCTGTTTTAACAGTCATTTCTGGAGACACAAAGAATTTCTTTGTGTGCTACAATAAAAGTGAGCAATAATCAGGAAAGGTAAATTTCATAATAATCTCTAGTCATAAACAGAAATGGAGAATTAGCCCCTATGGTCGCTCAAGGGCTCAGGTTTTTTGGTCTCCTTTTCTACCTTAAAAAAACACCTGTTTTATTTAGTTTTATCTTTAAATTTTGTTAAATTGAAGAGTAACTTTCCGAAGGTGCACAAATCTTTAAAGAGGATGGCTCAGTGAAATTTTCACACATGCACTTATCTGTGTAACGACCACAGAGCATGACAGAATATTTACCGCATCTCAGTTGCCCACATTCCCAGAACGCCAGTTACTATTTGGCAGTACCTCTCTGTTCTTGAAAATTGCGAATACACAACAATGCTTTGGAGTCATTTTAAATCATGGGCTCGGAACGGTCACTTACTGCTCGACCTCGTTATTCCCAGTTCCCGCTTCTGGTTCCTTAATGCCATTTCAAAGGGCGATTGCTGGGGTGTCCTCGCCTGTCGGGACCTCCATTCCCAGGAATCGTTATCTCAAGGTCACATACTCTCAGCAAGTGGTTCCACTTCTACCCCGGCAGCCTCCCTGCCCCCCGCGGAGCCTACCTCGCCCGCAGCAGGATGCCGACCACGGCCTCAGGCGCAAGCGCCTCCCCCCCGCGCCCCACCACGGGCCCCGCCTCCGGCACACAGGCCCCGCCCCTCCCCGTGCGCCCGGGTCTGCGCAGCGGCGGAAATGGGCAGGGCGGGGCGAGCGGCGCGGCTAAAGCGAAGGCGGAGCCGCTGCTCCTCCCTGGGCTCGCCGGCTCCTCCCACGCCGGGTCACGCAGTGACAGGGGCGGAAGCGGCTGCGGCTCGAGGCGCGGATCCTGCAGTTCTGTGCGCCGCGCACGGCTCGGGATAGGCGCCCGCGGTCCTGGGCGGCGCGCACCGCCTCGCCGGCGCTCTGAGGTGGAGGGCTCGCGGCTCCGGGGGCGGGCGTGGGGGCGGTGGCGGATTTCTGGTGACAGTGCTGCACAAAGCGGCTCGGCTGGGGTGCATGCCCTCCTTCTCCCCCTGTGCAGCGCCTCTCGACTGGGTGGGAGGTGGTCGGGTGCCCCGGGGGCTGAGACCTCTTCTTCTCTATTGGAGAAGGGTGCGGGGTGGGGATCCCAGGCTCAGGAAGGGGGAATTCCCGGACTGGGTGTTGGGGCGACGGGGTTGCCCAGGTGGTCGCGGCGTGGCGAGTCTCCTAACCGCCCTGCAAATGTTTGCTTTACAGCGCTGCCTTTTCCCCCGGGACTCCTTGAACCCCGCCAGCGCTGAGGTGAGCCCCGGGGCTGTTGCTTCTCTGACTTCGGAGAAGACACGAAAAAGCTTTTCGGAAAGCCGAGCGGCTGCAGCCCGCACCGCGAACGTGGGGGCTCCCTGGTGGGGGACTGTCCGAGCCCTCTTTCTCGGGCGGATGCCAGCCCAGGGGGGAATCCCGCAGTGGGGACCCCTCGCGTGCTCTTCCAGCCGGCAGGGTGCGGCGAGGAGCCCTAGCAGCCTGCAGGTGTTGTAGTAATACTCGGGCACCGCCGCCGCGCGTTGAGACTTGATTATCGTTGCCAGGTTGCTGAGGTAACTCCTCTGGGATTGGAGCCCTGGAGGGGGCGGCCCGATTAGGGTGGCTGTTAGTCAACAGTCTGGCAGCTGGCAGGTGAAAGAGGAAGGAAGAGGCAGGCCCGGCTGTAGAAAGTTGGGGTGCAGCGATCTGGAACGCAGCCAGATAGAGGCCCGGTCTTCCCCCTGGGCGAGCTTGCAGGGCTCTAGAGACCTCTCGAGTTGCCGGGATCCCCTAGTCCACGTAGACACACACAGAGACTCAAGGCTTTGGCCGGTTTTGTCTTGTGTTTTTTCATTTATTTTAGTGGCAGAAAGGCGTGTGGGAAGGGAAGTTTTTTTCAGGAGGTACAGGAGAAAATTACTATCAATAATTAATTGTCTTCTAGGCAGAGAAAGTAGTGAACAAAAGACATCCAGGCAATGGGGGACTCAATAATTATTGAAATACACATATAATATTGAATTATTGTATTGGATCCATATTTCTGAAAATTTGATTATAGGGTGGGAGTAATAAGGTGCTAGTCCTGGCTGATGTTAAGCGTCCCACAGGGAAATTGCCGTTTCTGTTGTATCTGAAGAAGTTTCTAGTAGTTTGTCCTATTTTTATTACTTATGCTGACTCCATTATAAATTTTTATTATAAGGTCGGGCGTGGTGGCTCACGTCTGTAATACCAGCACTCTGGATCGCCTAAGCTCACGGGTTCCAGACCAGCCTGAGCCAGAGCGATATCCGGTCTCTAACCCGTCTCTAAAAATAGCTGAGCGTAGTGGTGGGCACCTGCAGTCTGGCCTACCTCGGCGGGCAGAGTCAAGAATCGCTTGAGCCTAAGAGTTTGAGGTTGCTGGGAGCTGTGATGCCATGACACTCTATCCAGGGTGACACAGTGAGACTCTCAGATGTTTTTATTCTAACCTGAAATTCATTTAATTCATATGTTTAGATTATGTGAATTTGTTTTTAAAAAATGTGAATAAAGCTGGGCAAGGTGGCTCACGCCTGTAATCCCAGCACTTGGGACGCAGAGGTGGTGGATTGCCTGAGCTCAAAGGTTGAAGACCAGCCTGAGCAAGAGCAATACCTGGTCTCTAAAAATAGCCGGGCTCTTTCCCAGCACCTGTGGTCCCAGCTACTCAGGAGGCTGAGGCCAGAGGATCACTTGAGCCTGAGTTTGAGGTTGGTGTGAGCTATGATGCCATGGCACTCTACCAGGTTGACAAAGTCTCAAAAAATTTTTTTTGTTCTAACCTGAAATTCATGTAATTCATGAATTTGTTTTAAAAAAATCTGAATAAGCTGCTTCAGAAAAGCCTGGGAATTATTGAAATAAGTATTTGCATTTTTCTTTTCCTTGAGACAAGAGTCTCTGTTGTAGTGGGTAGAATGCCCTGGCGTTGTAGCTCACAGCACACTCAAATTTTTGGGTTTGAGTGATCCTCTTGCCTCAGCCTCTTGGGTAACTGAGACTACAAGCACCTGCTACCATGCCTGGCTAGCTTTTTCTATTTTTGGTAGAGATGGGTCTCTCACTCTAGCTTAGGCTGGTCTCAAACTCCTCAGCTCAAGCAATCCACCTGCCTCGGCCTCCTGAGGATTACAGGTATGAGCCACTGCACCTGGCCAGAAATCTGCATATTGATACATCCCTTTTTATATATATCCCAAAAAAACTTTTTTTCTTTTTTTTTATTACATTAAGAGAAAACTAAAGCCAAATTTTAAATTTTGAATTTAAAATTAGGAAGAAATACGTTAATAATATTAAGCATGAAAAAAATTGATTATATTTAGGTAGGTAAGTTTATTAATTTGAAAAATCAAGTGGGAAAACACCTTTAGTATAGTAGTTTGCTTTGGTCAGTATTTCTTTTTTTTTTTTTTTTTTTTGAGATGAAGCCTCAAGCTGTCCCTCTGGGTAGAGTGCCATGGCATCACGCTCACAGCAACCTCCAACTCCTGGGCTCAAGCGAGTCTCCTGCCTCAGCCTCCCAAGTAGCTGGGACTACAGGCACCTGCCACAACGCCTGCCATTTTTTTTTTTTTTTGGTTGCAGCCATCGTTGTTTGGCGGGCCCAGGCTGGGGATTCGAACCCGCCACCTTAGGTGTATATGGTTGGCACCTTAGCCGCTTGAGCCACAGGCGCCGAGCCCGGTCAGTATTTCTAAGATTGTTTCAAAGCATGGTAACTTTAGCCCTTCCCACTTAAAAATTTTTTGCCTTCATTTTAAGACTCAGACGACCTAGCAAGTAGAAATACAGAAATTACATTAAGTGCCAAAAAAGGATGGAGCCACATAAACTCTCAGTTGTATAATTAAAGGTTGAAAATGTGCTACCTTAAAAATCTCCAATCAAAACCTAGTAAAAAATAAACATCTTCAGTAAGATTTTATAATGGATTTTATTGCTAAGGTTTTCATTTCCTCGTTAGGCATTTCTTGAATTATATTTCTACTGAATTAAATACATGTTTTCCAATTTCCAGTTAGATTAAAATGTTTAATGAAACTTCTGGAAACTATTCTTTTGAGAATGGATTTATTCCTAAGTGACAAGTTCAAATTTGTGAACCTAGGCAGATTTTATTTATATTTTTTAACCCCACATTGGACTTCAGATATTTTCACAACAATACTTACATGTACTATATGTTTACAAATACTATATATGTTTACCTGTACTATATCTGTGGTTCATTTTACGAATAATGTGGGATATGTTTTATAAATAAGTGAGATTTATGTATTTATATGATAATTCATATTTATATTTGTATATGAAGAGATTTGTTAGCTTGGATAGCCATTTGAGATCCAGAAAGCCTTTTTTGGTTATAACAGTTATAGGTATATAATACCTTGTTTGGTTTTTTTTGGCCAGGGCTGGGTTTGAACCTACCACCTCTGGCATATGGGGCTGGCACCCTACACCTTTGAGCCACAGGCGCTGCCTGGTACATAGTACTTTTAACATTAGTGCTTTATTCAACAGTAAAATGGTTGCTTTAGAACTAAATTGCTGTTTGTTTGTTCATTTAGTTTTCGAGGCAGAGTCTCACTTTGTTGCCCAGGCGAGAGTGCTGTGGTCTCAGCCTAGCTCACAGCAACCTTAAATTCCTGGATTCAAGTGAGCCTTCTGCCTTAGCCTCCCAAGTAGCTGGGACTACAGGCACCCACCCCAATGCCCAGCTAATTTTTTCTTTTTTTAGTAGGGTCAGGGTGTCACTCTTGTTCAGGCTGATCTAGAATTCCTGAGGTCATGGGATCCTCTTCCAAGGAATACTGCTTCACCTTCCAAGAGTTCTGGGATTACAGGCATGAACCATCATGGCCAGGCCTAAGTGTACTTTTACTATGCCCATTTTATGTATGAGAACACTGAGGCTTTAGACAAAAAGGTTCAGCAACTTGAAGATGAGGCTTATTATTTAGGCATTCTAAGAGGACATGCTATTACCTACTAAACTGCATAATAACTTTGTTCTAGGCTGTTGAAAACATTAGCAGATGGTAACATTTATGGTTTATTTTTGCAGATTTTCTAATACAATGGCAACCCCACGTGGACGAACAAAGAAAAAAGCACCTTTTGATCATTCTCCAGACAGCCTTCCTTTGAGGAGCTCCGGTAGGCAGGTATTACTCATTTGTTCATTCAGTGTACCTTTTTTTGAACACATGGTATTATTACGATTGGGATTAGAGAATTAAAGTTGAAAGGACACCACTCCAGTCCTCAGATTGCTTGGAGTCTAGTGGAGAAATTCACAATACAGTCATAATACAATGTGATAGAATGATAGAAGGAAGAAAATAGTAGCATATCTGGCCAAAAGCACTGTAAGAATGAAGTCATAACCTGTGAATCAGCATGAGGTGTTCAGAGGATTGCAGTTGTGTGATTGCTTCCAGCACATGAGGCTACATGTACCCAGATTGTACTCCGCTTAAATATCATTTATAGGAGTTTAGACTTTAGCTTCTAGTTGGTTGGGTGCTTCTGGAGGTGTTATCTTTAATTAAAGGGAATTTTTATTTTTTATTTATTTAGGGTGGTGCCTGTGGCTCAGTGGAATAGAGCGCTGGCCCCATATGCCAGAGGTGGTGGGTTCAAACCCAGCCCCAGCCAAAAATAAATAAATAAAAAATAAAAAAATAAAATCGGAGGCTATAATAATTCCTTAGCATTTTTCTAGGTATCAACAATGCTGAGGATATAACTGCTCTAAGAAAAAAATCTTAATCAGAGAATGAGTTGTTTATTTTGACTGTCACTTTTTCCTAAAAACGGCTTGCCTGAATTTGAGTTTTCCACCAAGATGGAAATGCTAGTTCCATATCTCTAGCCAAGTTAGTGAATTATTTGCACAGAGCAGTTGCAAGGAAATTGCTCTTATATCCACCCCTAACTTACTGCCAGGATATTGTTGACCTTTACATTTAGTGCCCCTTAACATGGATGTGATTTCTGTAGTGAACTTTCCACCCACCTTCACCTTGGTCATTCTGGAGAAATTTTAACCTCAGTTGTTCTCCCTCAGGCAAAGAAGAAAGCAACGGAGGTAGTGGATGAGGATGAGGATGGTGGGTCAGAGAAGAAGTACAGGAAATGTGAAAAGGCAGGCTGTACAGCAACGTGTCCTGTGTGCTTTGCAAGTGCTTCTGAAAGGTCTGTTTCAGATGGTGTGTCTTGGCATTGTGTTTCTGCCTATGAGAACATTCCTCCTGGGAACATCATCCTCAAAGATAGTTTTCCTAAAGATAGATATAGATTCTGTAAGTCATCTAATAATAGAGACATTGCCCAGACATTCTGTACATACCACACCCACCTTAATGCCCTGCCCACATTACTAACCCACTGGGAGAGATTGTACCCGTATCAACATTGGAATACAGTGTCCTCAAATCCAGCCAACCATAGCTGTACCTCTCCTAGGGGTTGAGGGTGGAATGGTGTGGAGTGGTTAAATAGTAAAGAGAATCCATAACCTCCCTGTTAGAGACCAGCATGTGTTAACTTTTTGCTGTGCTTTTCTCTCTCATGATACGTACCTCCTCTTCCCATGCATACACACATATATAGATCTCATAGAACCTATAGCTAACTGCAGTCTTGCCACTTTAATTGGGGTGACACAGATATGCCTTTTTTTTTTTTAACTTACAGAGAATCTTTAAGACTTAAGATTCAGTAATATCTGGAAAACAAATCCCATGTTTTTAAACACACATGTAGTGGTCATGCTAATAGTGGCACGATTTTTCATTCTCTTGCTATGTTATTGGTTCTCTGATAGGTTCTGTTTGTCAGATTATCTGCTTGATGTTCAGATTACAGCTGGCCACATTCTTTCTCTATTCAATACCAGACCCGATATGATTACTAGAGACTTCGTTTCTCTTCTTCCTACACATGCAGCTTGCAGCAAGTAAAGCTGCATCTTTCGTGTTGTCATAAAGTTCTATCCTTGCTCCAAGGAGTCTTGCTAAGACTCCTAAGTCCCAGGCAGTGAGCTGGGTTAAGTACCACTGGTCTAAGTCCTTGTATCCTGACCATGTATTATTAATCAGTCATCCATTCCAGTTTCTCCTGTTGTTAACTTATGACTGTTAGAAATCTAGGTAGGGATAGTACAAAATTGGTGCTTAGGAGGTACTTGCTAAATGTTTTTTAAGAAGAAGAAATGTTTATTCATTACTGAAGCTGCATGTTTTCACTATTTTCAGATGTGCCAAAAATGGCTACACATCCCGATGGTATCACCTTTCCTGTGGTGAACATTTCTGTAACGAATGCTTTGACCATTACTACAGAAGGTATATTCAATGATTGTTTGAAGTATCCATGGAGAAGGGGGTGATTGGGGTAATTGAGGTGATTGGATGCTTAAGTCTTTAGGCTTACTGAACCATTTGACTGTTTCAGCCATGACTATAATTTTGACCAGAACTTTGCCATAGTGTTGGATGTGTACACACTCAGGGCTCAAAAAATATCTATCATAAGAGGCCAGGTGCTGTGGCTCATGTTTTTAATCCCATCAATGTTGAAGGCTGAGAGGCAGGTGGATTGCTTGAACTCAGGAGTTTGAGACCAGCCTGAACAAGAGTGAGACCCCCATCTCTAAAAATAGCCGGGCGTTACAGTGGGTGCCAATAGTCCCAGCTACTCGCAAGGCACTGAGGCAAAAGAATTGCTTGAGCCCAGGAGTTTGAGGTTTCTGTGAACTATAACATCACAGCATTCTGAGGGTGACAAAGTGAGACTCTGTCTCAAAAAAAAAAAATTTTTTTTTCTTTTCAGACATTTATTTTTTTTAGTCTGCAAGTTCCAGAAAATCTAGGAGCTGTCGATTCTGTTTTATTTTCTATTTTGTTATTTTATGCTCTAATTTTTTTTTTTTTTGCTTGCTTTATTTAGGTTTTTCTTTTTTTTCTCTAGTTTCCTAAGTTTGAAGCTTAAATTTTTAAGGTCTTTCTTCTTTTGCAGTAAATGCACTTAAATGCTGTAAATTTCCCTTTAAACACTGATTTAGCTACAGTCCACAAATTTTGATAAGTTTCATTTTTATTTTGTTCAAAATATTTTCATTGAGACTTTCTCTTTGACCTATAGGTTTTTTAGAAGTAAATTGTCTAATTTCCAAATATTTGGGATATCTTCAAGTTTTCTGTTACTGACTTCTTGTTTAATTCTGTAATGGTCTGAGAATGTACTTTGTATGATTTCTGTGTTTTAAATTTGTCAAAGTTTATTTTATGGCCCATAATACAGTGTACCTTGGTGAATGTCCCTCCGGCAGTAGAGAAAAATGTGTGTTCTACTGTTGTCAGATGCAATGATCTATAAATATGAAATAGATCAAATTGATAGCACAGTTCAAGTCATATATATCCTACTGATTTTATTCCTGCATGATCTTTCAATTATTAAGAGAGTATTAGTCTGTAATTACCTTTCTCTTGAAGTCTCCAACTATAATGTAGATTTGTCTTTTCCTTTTAGTTCTATAAATTTTTGCTTTATGTATTTTTAATGTTTTGTTAGTACCTTGTACATGTAGAGAGCATCGTTATGGCTTCTGTCAAAACTGACCTCTTTATATAGTATCTCTTATTATCCAAGATAAGTCTTTGTTCAAATTAATATGGCTGCTTCAACTGTGTTTTTATTAGTGCTAGCATGATAACGTTCTCCATTTCTTTACTTTTAACCTTTCTAAGTATTTTTATATTTGTAGTAGATTTCTTGTATGCAGAACTTAGGTTTTTCAAGTGTGTGTGTGTGTGTGTGTGCGCGCGCGCGTGTAGAGGTAAGGTCTTGCTAAGTTGCTCAGGCTGGTTTCAAATTCAGCCTTGAGTGATCCTCCTGCTTTGGCCTCTCAAAGTACTGGGATGATAGGCATGAGCCACCATGCTTGGTCAAAAAAGAAAAAATGTATAGTATAATTTCCTTTAAAACAATCCTATGCTCTTGTTCCCTTCTTACTAGTTTTAGATAATAAAACTGGCAAGAATGCACCCCTCGGCTCAGCGCCTATAGCTCAACCGGCTAAGGTGCCAGCCAC